AAAATGGTGGACATGAGCTTGACAATGGCGCATGCCCCGGCGGCGCATGAGGTCCGACAGCATGCGCTGCATTGGGTTCACAATCAGTGCATTCCCCAATGCATTCCCGATGTCTGCCAATGTTGAATTCAGACACGGACTCACAGAAACTTGATGGACTGATTTGAGCCTTCCTTGATTAAGAACCAAGGCTTCAAAGTATGGTCACTTCTTTTTATACACGCTGAGGCACCTGGGCCCATGGCGCAGAAACAAGCAAATTCGGAGTTCGGGCTTCATCAAAAAATGTTTCTATAGCTAGGTACCAAGCAGTTACTAACAACAAAGCAACATGACTAACATGACATGCTACCTCATCATGGCGTAACATACTGGGTATAAAGTCACTTAGCAATACCAATCGGAGGCAAAGGGTTTATCAGAAGTGTCTCTAATTAAATGCTAGGTTCTACGGCAAACTAGTTTCCCTTCTTCTCCCCGCCCTTGTTGGCCTGCGGCATTGAAGTTCTGCAGCAGCAGCTGGAGCGCCTGCATAACGGGAGCAGGCACTGCGGACGCCAAGACTTGCGCCGCGGCTGCGCGCCCCCCATCTAGCGCCGCATGCCCCGTGGCGGCAGTATCCGAAGAGAAGTTTCTTTCCTAGAAAGTTTTTCTCATACATTCTCAAGAGCTCATGTGCTTTTATTTCGAGCTCATTAGCCTACAAGCACCCTATGAATGTCGCAGTATACATATTGCTAATGCTATACTTGAAGCCTAAAAAAAGCATATTTGCAACTCATTAGGTACGTATCCACAAGCCTCTCTTTGGTGGTCATGCACTCAAAACATGGCCTGTTGTAGAGCATTGCATGCCTTGCTGAGCTGCCGGAGCTCGGCAGCGAGTCGTTCTGCTGGAAGCAGTCAAAGTTGAGGCCGGAACAGGCTCGGAACAGATATAAACGGACCGGAACGCCAATTGAGCAGGTTGGGCAGCCCTTATCCGTAATTCGATTTATGTGGATTGTGAGCTTCAATTCATCGTACGGTGGAGACATCATGTTTAAGAATTGTCCAGCCAAACCGAGATTCTGCGGACCGCCTGTTTGCACAAAGATTGCGAAATCCTAAAAACTAGGTCTCGAGTGTCATCATAATAGGGACTAGCTCAAAACAAAGATGCGCGTCGTGATACCTTCATGCAATGTAGGTACGGTATTCATAATTATTTCTTGACAGGGACAAGACTCGATCAAGTTAAAATTCTGCACGAATCTGTGACCCTGCATGCATCTTAACAGGCTTGGGTTTCTGCGAAGGCACCAATTTCCGCGTGTTCTGGCAGAGGTTGGACATGGCTTAAGTCCACGCTTTCAGTCGACCGCGGAGCTTTCATGCACTCGATCTCGCAGACATTTCGCGATATGTGCTTCTACTCCTCCGTCGGATGTCTTTTCCGCATCCATAACGTCCACGTTGCTTGAATTAGCGTATCACCTTTCCGCATACATGTATCTGTTGATCGAAGTACATTCCCAGTGACTGAGTTCCGCAATTGTCATGCGCTTTCGCATATGTCTGAGCCCACCTCCGCGTTTGCTGCGCGTATGCATCCACATTGACAAACTTTTCAGCTCGTTGCTGGATAGGGGTCGAGCGCCGGTCACTCAGCAGGGGCCGCGCTGGCCCGCACTGCTAAGTGTCGGAGTCCGGGGTGCATCATATGTTCTAGTTCACCAGTCTAATCAGTGCCTGGGCCGCCCTGAAACATCAACCAGTGCGCCCACACACGGACTCCAAGCCTTGGTAGGCACGCCGCCCCGCAAGGCCCGCTTTAGATAGCATTCAAAATAGTCCGACCACGTGACCGTCAAATCCAGAACTACTAATACACTCGAAATGCATCCAGAGAAGCAAGCTTATCCACTTTCAAACGGCCAAACAACATTGAGCGCTTGACAAGGGGGACTTTTTAAAAAGCGCTGAGTTGAGGGGTCAGAATCGGAAGCCAATTTTGGTCAACCCAAAATAGTAGCGAAGGAGGCTATGTCCATAGCTGACGTTGGCTTCAGTTTTCGGTTCATGATGTCGTGGTAGTATAATAACACGCAGGTTGGCTGACCAATTACACAGAACACTACCCAGAAGATCATGTTCCCAATCATTGGCTTTGACTCGTACCGCTTCTGCAAAATAACCAAGTGCAACAGTCGGCGTCAATGTAATCCGCATGATTGCTCGGTCCTTACTCCATAGACATCTCAGCGAATGATATTGCAGATGTATTTCCCGGACACTGAAGCATCGTAGATCTGCTGAAAGATTAGAGCCAAAGTCAAAGCTGCATCAGTCGACTGCAGCAGAAACGTCTGCTCGAATCGCACATCCTGTGCTTGCGGACGCAAGCAGCAAAAGCCGAAGTGACCAATGCACCCGGGGGCCTTACCGCAAGGAGGTTCGTAATGACGACGAGCGGCAGTTGATTCAAAATGCCGATGAAGGCCCACAGCCGCATCGTGTGGCACGGCAGCCCAATCAGCAGCTGCACGCACAGCCACGCGCGCGCACAGCAATCAGCGGTCGGGACGGGGCACGCGGCACAAGCTAAGGGCGGGCTCGACTCTCCAAGAGGTTCCAGAACTCTTGAGAAGCAGCCTGTCTGTGAAGTATTAATCCTGATTACTACAAACAAACGGTTTCGCCAAGCAAGAAAAATCTTGAGTGAAGACCATATCTCAACGTCATCACTCAACCAACCCCGCCCGCCAGAACGGACATGCAGCCCCAACGAAACGAACCTGCGTGCACGCAGCACCTCGCTGGCTCGCAGGGCGGTGTCGTGCAATCAAACTTGCAGTTTCTTAATCGAGCGTGAGTCCATTTCCAGAGGTAATTCCATTATTTAACGAGTCGAGTAGTTTCGCGGCCGCAGGGAGGTATGCCGGGGCGCACAAACCTTGAAGGGATTACGAATAGGAGGTCCTCCAAAAAAGCTAATTGTAGACACACTCCTAAACCGGACAATGGCTGCAGAGCTCCAAAAGAGCGTCGCGTTTGATAGAAACGGAGGGGGCCGCACCTCGTGGAAGACCGCGGAGAGGAAGAAGACGACGGTCATGGCGAGGCCCTTGGAGTGGCCGCGGCGGATGATGGGGAAGTAAATGTGGCGCACCATCCAGCGGTGCACCGGCATGTTCCACGACCGCCAGTACCCCTCGATCGTCGTCGCGTTCCACCAGTCCTGTGCGCACGGGGAAATGGCTCAGGGGAACGGGGAAAGGGGACAAGAAGCGGTGAGCGAATCAGATGGCACATCGACACTGTTTACAGCACAGAGGCAGAGAGGGACGCCTTCGTTGAAGGAAGGTGACGTGACGAAAATATGTACGCACACTGTCGCAAGACGCAAACGGTTGACGTGTGAAGTCCGAAACGGCGACCAGCCACGCCAGCACTTCCAGCACTCTGCTTCCGTCCTGCGGCGATTCGCTCCGCGAGGCGTACCTTGTAGAACTCGCGGTCGCCGAAGCGCAGCAGCTCCGCGGCGATGTTGAGCCAGAGGTGGAAGAAGCAGTAGAACATGCAGAGCCAGACGTAGAGCGTGGGGATGCTCAGCTTGAGCACGCGCTCGATGACACGTGGCGCGCTGCCGGCCAGCGGGTGCGGGCTGTTGGCCACCGTCGGGTTCACGTACTGGTTGATGATGAACAGCAGCAAGCTGCTGAACACTACCAGCTTCAGAAGCTGGCGACCGATCCACGGCTGCAAGCGCGGAGAGTCAAGAAAGTATTGAGACAAACAGAGGAAAGACTCGTTGTGCAGAACGCGATACGGAGACCTAACAAGGACACTGCTTGCGTGCCAAGGTATGGGAAATCCTTGACGTGGGAAGCAACTTCGCAAACCGGGAGATTGTCCTGGCAACGGACGCGCCATGAATGAGAAGACGGAGTGTCAGAGGCGGAGGACGCGAGTCCTGGAACGCTTAGAGGCTGGTACAGGCATCATTGTGTGACGCTTCCAAGTTGTACGAGCACCTGGCGAGATGGCGGGACTCTCAAGATGCGGATAGAAGATGAAGATCAGTCGAAGAGCGGACAACCATGAGACTGCCCCTTTACACTGCTGTTAGGAACTCTAAAAGCCGATACCTTGAAGCTTCTGACCAAAGCGCAAATTAAAAATGGTAAAGGGATTCCTTTGGGTGGCGCGCTAACCCATCGGATATGCGGCGTGCGGGGGTAGCCGAGCTGGTAGCACAGCGTCGGCGCCGCCAGAAAGTAGCACATGTTCTTGACCGTCAGGTTGTCCGGGTACCGCACGGGATGCGCGTCGGGGACGGCCTCGAGCTGCTCCCCCGCCGCCAGCGCGATGCGCACGTCGTATAACGTGTGGGCATACGAGATGAGCTTCATCCACGTGATCACGGACGCGAACATGAGCGCGAAACCTGCGGTGTACGAGGCACCCAAGTAGTCGGTGAACATGAAAGGAGAGGTTATGTGGGTAGCGCGTGAGTTGCGTGATCCGGAGGAAGATAATATCGGTGCGGTTGTGAAAGACAAGGACCGAACGCGGGAAGTTCTAGTGCAGGGGCACTAACCCCGTGTTTCTTGAAGGGTTCGAGCAAGTAAACACACCGGATTTGCATCCTATTCTGCTCAGAATAGCAGAAACCCGACCTGCGACTCAGCAACGCCTGGAAGCCTGTCCCCAAGTTGTTTATTTACGAGTCGCAGTCCTATTGCAAACGTCGGAATAGAAATGCGTGGTGCGGAGACTCACTTGACCACTCCCCCGCTTGTGCTCGATGAATGAACCAGGCGGGCCAGACGAGACACACCACGATGTTGAGCGTATGCACACCGAGGACCACCTGCAAACACAGACCGGGCTAACCACTTTCACCGCCCGCCCACTCGTTTCTGCGCTTAGTGATCTGACGCGCACTTGGCTACACTTAGCTTCCGTACCCGCAAGCGAAAAAGATTAGGGAAAGCAAACTTGCGACTGGACGATGATAGCTTCCTGAGCGCCGAGAAGCAAACCCGGAACACTACTCTTCTCAGGGACTCCAATCAAGCATGCGAAATCAACCTCATTGTGCTGTCGAGCGGCCACACGAGCGACTCGTCGACAAAATCTTCGCATTTGCACGGGTTCGTTGTTGACGACAGGCGAGGCAACTTTGTGCCGAAATTTCACGGTAACATCCAATCTCTATACTGATCTAATATCTTGTTGACGTCACCCTAAATTCCCTCCCTAAGCGCGGCGCACCTTCTCGCTGAGCGCGGGCGCGGCCACCTTCCACTTTTCGATGGCGACGGCGAGGCCGGGGAAGAGCGGCACGCTGAGCGCGCACACGAGGAGCGGCCAGTCGCGCAGCGCCTGCGTTAGGTGGGACACCTCGAAGCGTAGAAGCAGGCCGTACTTCATCAGGTTCTCGATGATCAGCCGCGAGTTGACCGCCAGCAGAATCACCACGCTCAGGTTGAACAGCCCCGCGTGGCTCTGCGCAGGGGCGACGCACAGGCGCTCAAGGATTTGTTATGGACTTACGGGGGGGTCTAGAAAGTCGCAGGCGTTTACTCGCGTGCCCACAGGATGGAGGGACGGGCGTGCACAGAGTAGAAAGATGACACTCAGACGGAAAAAGCAGCGGAAGTTGCTTTAAAAAGCAAACACTCGTTTGAAGAAGGATCAGCACCTCTCTGAGAAACGGAACCACAGGGTGGATGACACCAAGCGTCAAAAATGAAACGGAGAGCACAACCTTCCGTCCTCCAGACGAAACAGACTCATCAGTCCACCCTTAGCAACCCGCCCCAAGGTTCAGTTGTGCGGGAACCTCTTTTAAGTTTGCATGACCTTGTTGCGCGCGCACCTGCTGGAAGATGGCCGACTGGCTGAGCGGGCTTTCCTTGTTCCGCCGATGGCAGGGCGCCGCGGCACGGATGGTGTACCCCACGCTGCGCTTGCGCGGGCTCGGGCCGGGACGGGGATCACTCTCGCCGCTGGGCTGCGTTGACACGTGGAGCCCTGACACGCTCGCCGATTGATCAGACCCTGACGGAGCCGCAAAAAGCTTCCCTTAAAGAGGGATACATAGCTGATGCAAAAGGGGGCCATGTCAACGGGAGGTTACAATTGTCTACACGCTATGTTGTAGACAAAGGCCCTTTGACGGAGGAACAACTTCACTTTCCAGCCTAACAGAGCCGCGCAGATTCGCCATAGAAGGGACAGACCCCAAAGTGCTTATCATTTCCACGTGAAGCACGATAAGCTTTTGAGTCCTAAAACCCTAAAAGCTGGAAAGTCTAACAATTGCTTTTTTAGCAGGAAGTTCGAATCCGACTCGCATGAACCCTCCCAAACGAGGAAGTGCTCCCATCCTTCAATTCGACTTGCCCGCACACTACTTGTCGTGTATGAATTTGTGGACGGACGTCGCCACCTCTTGTTACATCCGCACTCGCTGACCTGTTTGCGCTAACTGTCCTGAATCCGCACTCACTGACCTGGTTTGCGCTGCCGCAGCCCGTCTCCATCCCCCTTGACGCTTTCGTGCGTCAGCGAGCTTTCGGCCGAGTCCGTATCGTCTGCTTTCTGCGCGGGCCGCAGCGGAGCCGTGCCGGGCTCCTCGGCCTGGCCCAGAAACGGGTGGTCCGGCTCGTCGGATACCACGGGCAAGCCCACGCTCTGAGCAAAAGACGGCAGGGCAACTTGAGAGAGGAGCACATGAATGTGCACACGCAATAAATGAAGAGAGCTTTCAAAACATACAAGCTTCTGGTATTGAAGTGGTCGCTAGAATCCGAGTTTGACAATTTTCTCGTGGTTCACGTTTGTGCATACCATGGGAAACCCTTTGGCGCAAAATGGAGCAAGATGGTTACAGAACAGCGACACGCGTTCTTGCTGTGGACCAAGGTAGACAACCAAGGTAGACAACCACAATGATGTCACTTCAAGCACCGACCTCCATACTGATGTGCTCGACTGATATGGTGAAACGCTTTCGTGTTTTTGATCCCCAATGACTCTGTTCAAAATTAGAAAGACTTGCTCCTGTCACGAGACCATGAAGGCACTGGCGATTATAAGAGCCGTCGCAGCAGTACAAAGGCGTTCTTGGCTGCCATCAAGTGAAGAGCCGCGTTACATCAAGGACCATTAGGCACCTCCGATTTTGACTTTCACCTCCAAAAGTACTAACATCCCGCTGGTCATCTGGGTCCCTCAACAAATGTATCATCTCCATAGACTCTCATAACCAATCGTCCTTTTCAATTCTCCACCCAAAAAATCATGCATAGACTACCACCTCATCTCACAAGAAATCGCCATTTCCATCCCTACGGGCAAAAAACTAAGTCTTAATACAAATTAAGCAGGGTGTGCCAACGTAATGCGCACCTCGAGGCACGAGACCCAGTGCCTGCCGTCGCCCTCGTTCTTGGTGGAGAGGCGCGCCAGGATGTTTTGGTCTTGGTCCACGATGCGGAACGTGAAAAAGGTGCCCTTCTTCAGGCCCTCCACAACCACCATGCACTGCGCCACGCTGTGCGTCCCGCGCGGATGGTCTGCCGCGTCGCGCTCCGTCTTCCAGTATGACAGCGTCGTGCCGTGCAGCCTGCGGGGCGCGTGCTTTCAGCGATCTTCCCAATTTTGGCTCTCTTTTTGAGACCTCTCTCTTTTTGAGACCTCTCTTATGGTGACACAACTTGTGCTTCACGCTGTGGAAAAGTCAGTGATAATCGGTCTCGTCGCTAGTATCTCAGCTTGCGTCTGCTATTTCAGCACCCTTCCGGAATTCTTTGCGACGAATCATTGCAGGACGCTATCGAGGTCCGGAGCCTGGCGCTTATTTACACTCTGGCAGGAGGCAAGATACGATTCTCAGGTTGCAAGTGCTTCAGCAAGAAGACATAAGGCATCCCCTACTGTATCTCGCTCAGTAAAAATCATTGATTCTGTACAAAATGTTATTTGATGAAGCTGGCCCTGCACAGGTGTCCAGTGTCGTACTTGATATGTGGGCAGAAGGGGCTCACGTGAAGAAGCGCAGCTCCCAGGGCTTCTCCAGGAAGCGCATGTTGGGGCGGTACTTGTTCAGGTACCCGCACTTCACCAGGTTGTCAGAAAACTGCACAACCCACATGGGGGAGAGTCAGCAAACGGGCGGCATGCTCCAACACTTACTCCGGCCATAGAATTTTGTTAAAGAAAGTCAGGGCCAGGTTGCTGGATGTTTCACTGGAGTCAAGCTGACGCTGGCTCTTACCTGCCCAAAAGGTTGTCAACAAAACAGACCAAACATCATGTTTGCAATTGCTCAGAAAACACGATGCCTCTCCTCTCTTTTCCTCGTGGTCTAGCCCACCTTCCAGTGCTGATGTAGTTACTCAAGAAAACTTCAAAGACAGTGCCGCAGTTTCTCGCCCCCCAATTGTAAGGGCAGGTTCTTCTTCATGTTTTTTATCGACTTCAACAATAATCATTCAAGCAGAAACTTAGTGATTGGAATACTTGTCTAAAAGGTCAGCTGCCAATACAGGGGGTTTTTACAAAGCTGATACCATAAGAATACTCATGTACTCCCATTATTCACAATTGCGTTCGCATAACCACTTTTTCACATCGCCCAGACCCCTCTACATCGTCCACCTATTATCTTTCCAAAGACCCGCTCCTGTCTTTCTCTAGGTTTTTGAAAAGGCACGCATGGAGCAAGAAAGCCACCAAAATCCCAATTGCTTGTTCAGTCGCCGGCAACACCTTGCTGCTCACAAGAAACAAAAAGGGTGACGACATATGACAGCGACAAAGGGGCATCATGATGGTGCACAAATTGGGGCGTGTTCTCGGCCCTCACCCGTCCGACCTGCCTGCTGAGGCGCGCCACTTCCGCCTCCAGCTCCGCGTTGCGCCTCTGTAACTCATGCAGCTCATTGCTGCTGCTGGCGTCACTCTCCATGATACAACAAAACCAAGGGCCGCTCAACCGGCAGTGATTAATGCTTGGTTCAGTGCCCTCTTACAAGAGCCAATTGACCAGTGGCTACTTGCATGTTGCGAGAAACGACCCGCTGAGATATCTTGACAGCTGCGCTCAGCACGCTTTCGTTCACGAGGAGGGCCTTTCTGCTCTGGAGTTGCTCTCTGCACCCCAACAGCAGCCAGCCTGTTGCAAAAGGTTTTGAGAAACGTCTGAAGCGACCTAGCGACCTAGACTTGTTTGAACACCTCCAACATGAGACATTGAGAGCACATGCAATCCACACTCCATGGAGTCTGGCCGGAGAGCACAGTTCTCTGTTGCTTGCACATGATGGAGGGTTGGATAGAGGGTTTGGCGGGGCATGTGGTTCACGACCAAACCCGCAGGGGGTTTCTATACCCAGCTGTCCTTAACTAGGTAATATAAACTTTGTTTAACTTTAGTTGCCACATAACCTTGTTCGAAACCCCGTATAAACCCGCTGCTGTGACTCGACTCCAGCACTTGGCAGCACTGTAAGTCTGACTGAGCACAGCACCAGTGGCAGCTGCAGCGGGCGGCGCAGGGGAACAACATTCGTCAAGGTCACCATTGGCATTGCAACTTGAGCGCATTGCCTACGCAACAGCATGGCGGCAGCGACCCAGTCTGCTTCCCTTTCCGGCCGGCTCTCCTGCCGGGCCCCTTCTTCCCCCTTCCCCAACAGCAGCACGTCCGCTCTGCTGCCGGCAATCCCGCTGCGCTCTCGCCACCTCTCCCTACCTAAAACACAATGCAGCGCCCACAACACCCAGCGGAACACCTCCGCTGGAGAACACTGTAAAGAGCAAGCACTGCCCCTTTTGCCCTTTGCTTCCGGTTTGGCGGCCGCTCTAGTTGCTGGCCCCGTGCAGGCGGCGGACCTGGTGGCGCCCATTGCAGAGGGGGGCCCTTCCATTGGGGTGGCAGTCGCGGGGCTGGCAGCGGCGGCAGCGGCCGTCGTGGGGGCGGTCAAGCTGACGGACCCGGAGGCCAGGTGAGAAACAGGGCCACGGAATGTCGTCGAAACGAATAGAGCGCCCCCTTGGAGATACTTTTTCACCCTTCTTAGTTCAAGGTTATGGGCCGCTAGGAGGGATGCCGATATGACATATAATCTGCCCCTGGTGGTGAATGCCTTGGCGGCCAGTGTTCGAAGGCATGGAGAAAATGTGGTGTCGTTTTCAGTCGCAGCATTGCTTTTGTATAGACATAAGGTTGTGGGCCGCCGCCGGGCTCAACTCAGAATGGTGGCCAGTGATTACGGGCTGCTTAGTAGTCTCATGAAACGGTGCAATGCACCAATGCTGAGGAACATAGGGGCGGTAGCAGCAAGTTTGGCAGCAGCACTTGGTTTTCAAGACTTGTGTTCGTTCCTAAGAAAACCCCAGCTTCTAATCCCTGCTGTCCACCCCAGCATGCCGCCCATTAAAGCATCTCACAAAGGAAGGAGCCATGAGTTAGCGACTGGGAAGTTTCTGGGTGCGGCACCAAAGGTGCTACAGGTCAAATAGTAGTCCGCAGGAGATACTGGAATTCTTGACATTTTGTCAGGAATCTAGGGTTCTTAGTGAAAGCTGTATTGTGAGCATATTTGGTAATGGTGCTTGATTTAGGTAGTGCTGTATCAAGGAATCTTGAGACTTTCCCGGTCCCCAACGGTCCGTTCTGACGGCCCACTCTTAAGCCTGGTTCACATCGGCAAACTCATAAAGTAGGGTCATGCACTGGATGCTTGATAAAAAAATCCCCCTCTCGCCCAATTGTGGTGAACTTAGGGACATTCGGAGGTTCTTTGCATTTATGCCCTTACGCAGATTACAACGAAAGTTCCAGGACATTGAATGCGCTGACAGCACAGATATACAGCTCGCCTCCACCTCTTGCTGAGACAGCATCAGCCTAACATCGATGATCCTCCGTGCACCGAAAGTTTCGGAATTTGGATGTGTTTAAAAGGGAGTTCCTTTGCGGTTCAGCTCTTTGTTGTCTACTTGGTCAAGTGCTAGCCCTCTGCCGGCCAGGGGCTATGGTAGCCACAACAGCTGTGTCGCAAATGAGACAGGATCAATTGGGCGACCTTCTCGCAACACGTTTCGTTTTTCTGCCCTGCAGGAGACAGAAGCAAGCTGCACGGACTGGAGGGGACGAGAAGACTGCAGTAAGTTGGTTCAGTTTTGGGGGCAGTACCGACATAGTGAGATCTTCGAAAATGCTCAGGAGTAAGAGTCACATGGCATCAAGACACGAGGAAGAAAGTAGTCAGTACCTGGGACACGGCAAGAAAGCTATTTGGCTTGCAATGGAAACTTTCCCTCATTTGAGTACGGGACAGGACAAGCGACTGTCTGACATCCAATGGGAGTACGTCAATAGACTTGGGGAGGAACCTTGCTACTTCCCTTGACGTGAGACTGCACCTTTAGCCCGCAGTTTCCTGAATTCTTCTCACAAGGCAGCCCAATGTTAGGGTGGCGACACAGGTTAACAAATAGTTTTGTGGGTCGTTCAGGTGAAGAACTATTTCAACAGCACTGGGTTTGACCGGTGGAAGCGCATCTACGGCGAGACGGACGACGTGAACAAGGTGCAGCTCGACATCCGGACGGGGCACGCGCAGACGGTCGACAAGGTGACTGCAACTGATCTACCGCTTGCGCGAATTGGCGCACCCATGATTAGTGACCACGACTGGAAAAGTGTAGGAGAAGCGCACGTACATCATATACCATAACAGCGCATCCACTTCCGATTCCTCTTCCCTTAAAACCTTGATAAAACACCTGTTCATGAGAGCCGTTGGCCCGCGTTGTGAAGCGGGCAGCCAGTGGACTTTCGGCGGTGTAGAGATGACTCTCATAGGGCGGTCCCAAACGAACATCATCGGTGCACCATCCCCTGGGGAACGAATTCTGTCCCTTAGGGACCAGTAACCTGTGATTCGTCGACTCTATCGTCTGGGGGTCGGTGCGCCAGGACGCCGGTAAAAGTACTAAGGGACTGTCGTGGCTCACTGGTTGGATAGTTTGCCTTGCGAAAATATCGGGAAGGCTTTCACCACGCAGCGCGTCCGTGAGATCACTCCAGTTTCTCGGGCAGCATACGCGAACTTACAGTAACACTCGCCAGTTCCCAGAGACCTCATATGTGTGACCGCCCTCTCAGAGGATCACTGGAAGTTACGGCTGTGATGCAGGTGTTGAACTGGTTGAAGTCGGAAGGCAGCCTCGAGGGGATCACCGTTGCTGACGCCGGTTGCGGAACAGGCAGGTGAGCGCACCGCCCGGGCGGGCAGCCTATCGGAGGGCGCCGTCTGGGGCCGCAGACGCCAAGGCGTGCCTCAAGCGTCTCCGAACTTCGTCAGCAAAATCAATCTCGTTTGCGAAGTCGAGATCTTCTTGAGCTAGACTCTGCAAGACGCCCCAACGGTACGCTTTGACCCGAATCAAAATGTGTTGGATCCGAAGCAAACGACTGTACTTCGAGATACTCGGAGGAGGTTCGAGTTTGAGTCTCATGCTGAACGCTTCCGGTGCAGCTTGGCGATCCCCCTGGCTATGGAGGGCGCCAAGGTCAGCGCGAGCGACATCTCGGAGGCCATGGTGAGGCGCGCGCGCAAATGCGATCCCTCCGCTTTTCGCCGCTGTTCGGAAGGCTTTGATTGGGATAAAGCTTTGAACTGAATGAGTGTCAACAGCAGAAACGGTGTGGGCCGGGGAGGAAAGCACGGGCCGCGCTTCTTGTGCTGTTTTTCGGGGCTCTGTTTGGTTATGAAGACAAATGCTTCTTCATTGCGTCACAGTCGCGTTTTTGTGTAAGCATGTCAGGTGTGTGTTCGAAAGTGCTGACTACTTTGCTTCCCTCCCGTAGACGAGTCCTGCCTGTCGAACAAGCTCCTTGGCAGAACGACGTAGAGTCTTGTGGCGGTCATCATAATTGCTTGGGTCTCATTGCGTCTTCCCCCAAAGCCAAATGTCGCGAACACCTCGTACGTCCCGTCTTTTGATTTCCTACACACTTGCCGTCGTTCGTTCTTGGTGCCAGGTGTCAGAAGCGGAGGCGCGGTGGGCAGAACAGAGCGGGGGCCGCGGCACGAAGCCGGTTTTCGAGGCGTCCGACCTGGAGTCGCTCACTGGCAAATACCACACGGTTGCCTGCCTCGACGTCTTCATCCACTACCCCGACGTAAGTCAAAGCGCTCTTGGATAGTATAGCTTCTCCCCATTGTGCAGACTTTAGTCGGTGATGTACGGGGGTGATTGCACATGTGCAGGATGCCGTCAGTCGAGATTCGAGTCTCGTCCTTTAAACGGCCCTTCCTTTGCTTGCCAAAGAAGGTCGACAGTATGTGGGTCGAAGGTTTGGGTCGAGAGTCACTCAGCTCAGATCAGCCTATGCTTCCTTGTTGCTGTTAGAAATCGCGAAGATTCTAAGGACAGGACTATGATCTCCAGTTCGTAGGCACGCTTCTGCGTCCGGCAGGAAAACTTCGGAACGGTCGATCGATGACAGCAAGACCCCAACTTCAACATTCCCGATTGTATGATGACTTTGCATCTATTGCCCTCTGCCAACCTCATATGTGGACCCAGAATGTTGCCGGCGACGTCTCTGGGTATTCAAAGCGAGGAAGTCGCCGCCCTTCCGAACGTTTGCTCCGACACAATTGCCCAAATTGGCGGACAGAAGGGACATTGTCTCAGAACGCCTGAAACGTGCTTCCTGACTGTCTCTGCTTGTTTTTGCAGGGCAAGGCTCAGGAGATGGTGAAGCACCTGGCGTCGCTGGCGGAGCAGCGGCTCATCATCAGCTTCGCGCCCAAAACGCTCGCGTACCTCGTCCTCAAGGTAACAAATTGCTTCCAAACGTTGCCAACTGCCTAAAGCGCGCCAAAAAGGCGCCGATTCGCCATAGGCATGGTTTTGTTTCACTTCGGCGCTTTGAAGGTGTCCTTTCGATACCATGCAGATTGCCCCTGGAGCACGAGCAAAGCCTCAGAGGGAATGTTTGTCGAAGCGGCATCTTTGATGTGTTCAAACTTCTCACTAAAACTTCATCAAATCGGTGCCAGATCGATGTAAGGTTGGGCGATATCCGGGTGCAAAGTTCTGGCACCTGTTTGTCTGGGGAGCCGACTTTCTGTTCAAGAGCTCTCAATTTGGAAATGTGCTCCCACCTGCCGTTCTCCAACGGTCGGGCCGAGTTAAGGTCGCCACGTCGAACTGGTCCTTGACTATGCTACAAGGTCACCGGCACTCCGCGGGCTTTGCGTCGCCGTCAATTGGCATGACACAACCATCATTCTACAGCGTCCTTGCCGACGGCCGCGCAAGGCACAGCGGCTTGCGACGAGGCCAACACACGCTTTCGAATCCAACGGACACAGCCGTCTAACGTCTGCTGCGGTTAGAAGCGCTTCTTCGTTATCTGATGAAATCTACTGAAAAACATTTCTCCGTGCACGAGCCGCCTCTGAAGGTGACCCCGTCTGTGCGTGCAGCGGATAGGCGAGCTGTTCCCCGGGCCCTCGAAGGCGACCCGGGCGTACCTGCACGCGGAAGACGACATCGAAGCCGCTCTCAGGGTGCGTAATCCCGAAACTTCTCTTTCCAGACTCTGCACCAGAAGCCGTTTTCAGTCCGCTTTGTAGCTTGACGACCTCGGAGGTTCTTATAATGATCAGTCGACATCGAGTGGTTGCTTTGCATGTATCCTGAAGGCTCATGACCCTTGCCTCACGCTTTCCTATGCTCCGAGCTTGCTGGGAGATCATGCAGGAGATACTCATCTCTTGGGGGATCCTTTCAAGCGCACTTGCTTAGCTACAGAGACTCTTCTAATTGTGAAAAAGCAACACGATTTCAAAACCTGGCTTTGGAGACTTTCAGCTGGTAGCATAGGGTGCGATCAAAAAGGTTCGTTCCTTTTCCTAGCTCAGCAGATTCTAGCGTTCAAGGTAGTCCCCCCGCGGTCCCCCCGCGAGTTGAGCAACGTTGGGATCTTGCCATCGCTAGAGCAGCGTCATCACGTCTGCATCGTTTGTGCAGGAGGCTGGCTGGAAGGTGACCAAGAAAGAGATGACGGCAACCAGCTTCTACTTCTCGAGATTGTTTGAAGCAGTGCCCATATCTTGAGTGAGCTGGACCTTTACGGGCCGTCAATAATCATCCGGGCTGGCTACGTGCCGCCATTGAGACAATTTTGTGGTGCTCTTGCGGCTCTCTGAGGCATTTGCTTTTGTGGTGAAACCGTTTTTTCTCCCAATCCGGAACTGATTGAAAACGAAGAGGATCTAAGGATCTCCGAATGTGGGTTGTCCGCGTACGCCGTTGCCTCCTGATCTCAGCAAATGGTAATTTGTGCCGGCCAGTTACAGCTGTGCACGGCCGCCACACTTCAATTGAACTTGCGGGATGATTTCTCAGGAGTCTTGCAAGTGATATCGAATGATCGCTGGTCAATATGAGAATTACGCAATAAGACATATGTCGGAAATCATCCTTAGAGCCAGCATGAGTCCGATCATAACCGTGGCATGTATCGTTGACAATCAATTAAGCCATCCGAGCACACAACAATTTCTCATTGTGCATCGCATGGCCATGCCGCACGCGCTGATCGCCGGCCTAATCACACAGTATATATGCGTGGGGCCAGCTATAGCCGGGCCGGCCTTGCCGGCGCCGCCGCCCGCGCAATATATACCATAATTTAATAAGCTTCCAAGTAAAATAAGTGTATACGCGCGTACGTAAAAATCATATAGTCGGGGTGCGGGCCAGCTGCGCGGCGCTGGCAATGATGGAGCAGATCATGAACCGTTGCAAAGCCATGTGGCACTGCAGTGGCGGCACATGACCCAGTGAGCCGTATCATGTGACGCGGTGGCTGCACACCATGCCCTGGCAGCCCACCTGCTAGCCTCGATCTAGCTCTATTTAACGTAAAGATTATTGCATTGAGACGCGCGCGTGAATCTTGCAGGCCGCTACGTTATGTATTCGAGGAGATCATCTAAACTTGGTAACGATAGCCTGCATATGTGTGCCGGTTGGACATGACGGTACGCATACGAATGTATGCACATGCGCAGATAGCGCAGCACATCATGCATGATCATTAATTTGCAGCCTGTCCCGGGACGCGCAGTAAAGGCAACGCGACTGCATTCATCCATGATAGCCTGCAAGCATGAATGAATGTTGCGCGTATTGAATCTGCTTACGATCGGATGCATGCCCTAAACTATTGGACTGGCTGGACGCCCTGTCGTTGCAAGATCGAGCCCTATAGGTATACAGCTTGGCACCGTTGAATATGCGACTTGCTTGATAGTCGGCGCCAACTGATTCTTGTATGTCAAGACATTAGATATCGATGCAACGGACTGCAATTACAGCTCGAAGAGTGTGACACTGGTTTTGTTGGCTTGCTTCAGCAAATCAATTCGATGATCGTTCTTGCGTGCGGTGATGATACTCTGTTTCTCTCTCAGGTTAGCTTCCTAGGATACTGCGATGCGACTTAATGTTGCGTACAAATGAGACGGTCTTGACGCGAAACAGCTCTGCTGTTATCCTTGCAACACGACGGCATCAGGGAATACTTCCTAACTGGCGGGGACTGGTCGACGGCTCCTCTATCTGAATAGGTCGGCTGTCTGAAACGTTGAAATGTGACGCATTGCCGCGGATGAGGTCGAAGACTTGTTTAAAGCGAGCAGGGTCGTCAAAGGTTGAGCGTGGTTTTCACCTGCAACCACCTGCCGAATCAACATATACCTTCCGGCGTGGACAACCACAAACCTATGCTCTCAGGTTTGTTCAAAAAATAGTCGACATCGTTTTAGCTGCGCTCAACCGGCTGAAGCTTCGGTGCCAAGTTATCCCCAAACACTATAACTTTAGAAATAATGCGTTTCTGAGGGTCTGCCAGTCTAAATGTCTGCAGCAGACTCCACCGATTCGAAGGCTCCCTCGGGAACGGATATTCATCCAGGGCTGTACAAAGAGATTGCCTAGCAGCAGAAGAAAGGAGAGAACGTGTAGACGCAAGGTTCAGAGGAAAGAGGTGTTTACCAAGATGGTCGCTCTTCGCTTACCGGGCTCGTTCTCGAGATCGCGTCCAAGCTGCGTCTTAGAACCTTCTCCTGGCTGCGTCGCAAGTAGTCCTGCCGGTTGGCGTGGCCCGCCCTGCATCCACGAGCAGGACCCAAACGTCAAAAGCGTGCAACTCGACAAGGACTTCTTTCGCAAACGAGGGGTCGCGCACTCCGTATACCCAAACATCCGCAGCTCTACGTTGATTCTGCGCCTCAGCGTTCCTGTGAATCTACTTCCTTTTGGAGCGCAGAAGCATCTAAGGAAATGCAAGAGCGAATCCAATGCGTACGATTGCTAACGACAATGAAGCAGGCAGATCCTAAGTCCGGAAATGTCTTCCAGATCACCAACTTTTTGCGAACATACGCAATCCATGGAATCACCCAGATCGAAGCCCCAAACTGACCTGGGGTTGCCGACTCTTTCAGGAGGAAGAGACCCGACTCCGGGAGAAAACACGTCCAGGTCCTCGTCGCTCTCCGCGGTAACTCTTGGCGGGCACGCCTTCTCGGCGTCACACGGCGGGTGCTTGCTCCGCCTGCCTTTGCGAGCCCACGTGCCATACGACCGGGCGCTTTGCTCACTGACGCTCGGGACTGCTTCTGGGGGGTTGATGGAAGCGCTGGGCAGAGGGGGGGCCGGCCTCCGGGGGGGTGCCGAGGCTGACGTCACGACGGGGGGCTGACGTGTGGGGACTTGGCCGGCGGTCAGAGCGTCGCGAACTATGGTAAGGACGTACGGGCCGTGCCGGTGGGTCCACGAGCTGGGGGTAAAGACGATAAAGCGAGGGTGAGAGGGAAGCAGAAGGGTGACCCCGAACTTTCTGTGCACCGTCACATGTTCGCGCTTGCGGACCATGAAACAATACGGAGTGCTCCCTGAGGATGTCTGAAGGGGTAAAGCTTTGCTCACTTCCGAGGAGACTGTTGGCACATGATTGAGAAAACACTGTCCTTGATGTAGAAAGTAATTGGCAAGACAACCGAAGACAAATGCCCATTTTCGTGCTATGGGCCAGTAGCAGAAGCTTTGACCCGCCCATTTGGCCTCAATCACCAAGGAAGAGAGGGAGACCAATGGAGACAGGTTAAGAAGTATGTATATCTTGTAACGTACCTCGAGAGCACGGGGGTGAGATCGTCCGCAGTCTGCGGCAGCAGCTCCGCGAGCAACTCAATCTGACCGTTCGTGAGAAAGTGCTCTGGGGGCTGGGGACCACACGCTTCGCGCCGCCACGTGTCCAGCGTCGATTGGACCCTCCGCTTCGCTGTCTGCAGTACACCGAGCCTTATAGCTTCTGCTCATCGAAAGCAGGGACACCACGCCCAGATTGGATATTCTGGTCGTAACCTTTTACTGTGACGTGGTTTGTGCTAATCACCTTGCAGATGACGTGGTACTGCTGAGCTGCTGATCAATTGCCTCAAAGATCGGACAAGGGTGGGACTGAATCTCAGAAATTGGGTCCGAAATCCGAAGGACATCGTTGTCTCGCAGAAAACCAACTCCTCGATCCTTCCGTCTAGCTGTACACTAACTCTCAGAGAAATGGCAAACCGGCCCCTTGGACTCTGATGAAGCACCACATGGCCCACAGTCAGCAATGCAACATTGCGCAAGGCAGTTGAGGCTTGCCTGTAGCTTGGAGCCAGAGAGAAACGTGTTTCGGCTGGGGGCGTCCTTTAGGTCGCAGGCGCCAAACCTGCAGCACCAACCACGAAGTCAGCGAACGGGGAAAGCTCCACCTCGGTTAGGTATACAGACACGTGGCTTCACGCCAAGCGAGCCCAGAACTAGGGGGCTCTTTTAGAACGTGCTAGCACTTTCGTGTTGGCACTTTCACCCCCTATAGGGGTAAAAGAAGATGTTTCAGCGACGTAACAAAAACAAACAGCACACCTTCAGAAGCACACAGGCCATGGTCGAGCGGCTTCCGAAACAATCTTTGATCAAATGCGCATGCGTGCGGAAAGAAAGATTCTCCAGGCCTACCCTTGCTTGACGTCATTGAGATCGCCGTCGTCGTCCGTTGTCGCGCAGCTCCCCCCCCGGCTCCTCGCACCCTTGTCAACTTTGACTAGCCCCACCAGTTTCATCCCCTTCTTGTTCCAGTCCTTGAGCAACACGTGCCCATTCTCCAACAGCTGCCGGGCAACCTTTTCGACCGTCCCCTTGCGCCGTGCCGCTCGGCTGCCACGTGGCAGCCCGTCTTCGCTCTCTAGCCCACTCTCCGTACTGTAACCTCTTGCCGTGCGTCCCGACAGCGACTGAGCCGACGCTCCATGCTCCTTCCTTCTCGTTTCCGCCCCACTCTCCCATTCCGTGGCAGAACTCCCCGTGCCTCTACGCCAGAACCCCTCTTCACCGCTGCTGTAAGCAGACCGCCGCCTGTCATTGACACGTGGCACCCCCTCACTGGTCTCCAAGCGCCCCGATTCAAACCCGGAGCCAGACGTTCCGCTGCCGGCCCCCTCGCCTCTCCAACCGCCTCTCTGCAAAAGGTTCCGTCTCTGCTCCCCGGACCTGAAGTCTTCCGCACTGCCGAAACTTCCTGACTTCTGCGCAGATTGTTTGTTTTTCGAAGCCCAGCTTCTCGGCTTCGACGTAGACGGTTCCGGCTCTGACTCAACTACTTGCAGCGTTTTCAGTTGGGAAGTTTCCTTTCGGTGCCTCCGTGCGGTTCTCGTTTGCTCGCTGTCTGTCGCCCCCTGCTCGGGCGTTGCAAACTCCTTGGGGTTTCGCACAAGCCCGGTCGCAGCTTCGAGGAGGGACAGTCGACGGGCATGGGGGGCTCTCTGCGCCAAAGGGGGCAATCTGAGACTGACGGGGGGATCTGTGGGTCTGGAGGGTGGGCCGTATTCGCGCGGAGAGGGGTCTGGGGTTGGGGTGGTCCTTCCGCCAAAGCTGAGAGAGCGTCTGAACGTCTTCCGTTGGCCGTCCGGGGTCGGGGCTGACCCGAAGCTGAGGGAAGACCGGAGGTCCTTCTTCGCAGATGTGCAGGCCTCCGAAGCTGCAGAGGCAACGCAGCTCGGGAGTTATCATGTATGATCATACGCAAAATCTAGCCTCCTTTTGTGTGATGTCAGGTATACGATAGCTGGCTCGCTTTTTGGCTGCTCCTCAAGACGCTTCGCAAATGATTCCTGACAGGGCGTTTCTCGTAAAAGGGCACTCGAACGAACAGCACACAAAAGCCGCGATTCTTCCTAAGTCTGCTGGAATGCACTCGTTGAGCGACCAACAGAACCAAAATGTACTTCTTTTGACGCAATCCAGAACGTCGTATTGGTAGAAAGAACATCAGAATCCCCTCTCCAGCGCACATGCTGCGATACATACCGCTCGACTCCCCAGCGCTGAAGGATGCGGACCGCCGTGCATGCCCCAGCCCCGCAAATGACGGCTGGCGCTTGATCCGCCTGCCTTTGACGAACTCAGATCCTTCTCCGCTGAGCGACGCTCGGTGCAGGAGAAAGGCTTCCTTGGTGCCCGGGGCCAATGGGTGCTCCGCTGCGTGCTCGATGTTGGGACCGTACTTGGAGGGCTGTAGAGGGGGCGCGGAGGAACCGCTGCAAATGACCGGGGAAGAGTTGGTGGAAGGATGGTGGAAACCAGATGAAGAGGTAATTGAAGGGGTTCAGCGAAGAACTGTTTTTTCGCCTCCCACAAGACTGTAGCCAGAAAAATGACACCGAAGTGCACAGTAAAAGCGGACCTCCAAACGCAAGAAGGTTGGCCATTTTACTGATTGGAGGCGGCAATGAAACAAAACCGGTTCTCACTTGCTCCCCCTGTTTTGCAGCGGTCCTCCGTAAGGGTGGTGGCCAGTCCTGTCTCCTCGGCTCTGCTTGGCACCCCCCTCGGTCCCGCTACCTCTCCCAACAGGCGGTCTATTCTCCTTCCGTGGTCTCCTTGCCAGATCCACTTGGCAGACTATGGGCACCCTGGCCCACTGATATTCAATGTCCAGGATGCAGCCTCTGTTCTTTAGCTCCTGAAAGAGGCGCAACAGCCTTTCAGAAGTAGAGCCTTGGAGGCCAAGGATGTCGCTCTGTGGGCTCAGATGGCAGAGACCTTTTTCTATTTGCAAATTGCCGCCACCGTGTCGATCTGAACGCTGATTATGTGGTTCCTTTCAGTAAAGAAGCAGGAATGATGTTCAGGATGGGAGGCCTTGTAGTGAGGGTCGAAAATAGAGGATTCAAAATCCAGATTTGGAAAAGTTGTCCATGTCTTGTTTTAGAGTAAGGAAACACATCAGGCTTTTTCATTCCAGAGAAACATGATGCAAGCTGTGCTACTTGCACAAGTGCAAATGGTGACTAAGATATGCTTGCTTTTGCAAAAGTCGATGTTTTGGAAGTCAATGAAGGCCCAGCTATCGCAGAGCGGCCCATATCCCCACCTGAGCTAGTAATAAAACTCGCTTAAAACTGCTTTGCAGCATGACTTGACCATTTGAAATCCACCTCACCGTGAGCAGCGCCAGCCTGGATGGGGCAGACGCGGCATGCTGGCTCCCAAGAATCGGTTTTGAGAGAGCCAGAATGAGCGTGCGCTTGTGTTGATCATATTCTTCTTGAGTGATGTGCCCCTGCAAGGTGCATACCTTTGAGTTTATAAATAGCCAGACCTAAGAAGACACACAGCTGCTTGCAACGTGCCTCAGAGGTCTGTCCGAAGTATGGCAATTGAGTTCCAGTTCATTTTATCAACTCTATGTGCAACCAATGCAGCAGTCTGGAAAATGCAAGGTCAGCACATCTGCTTCAGTTAATGAGGTCCATGGGTTTCTTGCACCAGATGTCTGGCAAGCCCTGCCAAGCGCCTGATGCATGAGAGTGAAAACCCTTGCGCTTGTTTGATATGATGGTTCCAAATTCCAGTCTGCTTTTTAGGCAGGCTTCAGCGCATCTTTTGTGACCCTTGCGCAAAGTTGAACACCACAAGGTCATTATTCTTGTTTTGATTAGTGTGAGTAGATTGCAGTTTAGAGACTCCAAAGAAGTCAAAGCATATCTGCAGCTCGCAAGGGTTTGTGGTCTTTGAAGGTGGACCTTCCTACCCATCAACCTGCAGAAGACCGTAAACACATACACGCAAGAGGCCGCAAAACAAGTCCATCAAAGTTGGAAACCTTACCTGCTGGAACGAGGCCAACATTGCGCAACATTCCTGAAGTTTTTCTTCCTCTTCAGGCCTCGGCCATGGCAGTGCTTAGGTTTTGCTAGCTCCCCCTGTCTGCAAGTCTACTTCTACTCTCTCTCATGACTGGTGAATATTCATGCATGCCGACTCAATCACGTGCTCTTTCAAATCAATCTTCACCACTTTTCTTCCCCACAGGTTGAAAGTTTTATCTTGTGTGGTTCTTCATCATGACTTAGAATGACTACCAGTGCAGGACAGGAACAGATCCCAAATGCTTGCTTGTTCGCACGCAAATCTCTGTATCCTTGTGCTATATATCTTGCAATGTCAAAGGCTGCGGCCTATGACCACCATTGCTTTCAAGCCTCCTCATGCAGGGCTCTCAGGCCTGATCCAAGATCCAGAGTTGACGATGTAGGAAGAACCTGCCTACGGTATACCAACTTCAATACCTATCTTCTGTGGCGGCAGCAGAGTCAACTGCAATGTGGGGGTGCGGCCAGACTCCAGAATGCGGCCGCGGCTGCCTTTGCAAATCCTCGATTGGACTCTGGAGTCTGGTCTTGAGTCTTGACATTGACATCTCAGTCAAATGCTGGCCAGAAAAACATTTGAAGTCAAATCTCAAAAACTTTCGTTATATCGTCCGTCCATGTTGGAGACGGACGGTCCAGATTGTCTTTGGCAAGGGGTTTGGTTCAATCTACCGTCTACCGGTATTCCGTTGTGCAGGTCTGGTTTTCAGTGGAACTTAACCCTGATTAACCATTATGCACAGTCATTTCTGAGCGCGCGTGCTACCCGCGCGCGGCACAAGACTTCGCGCCCCGCTCCGAGTTTTTATGTATCATGTATATCGCGTATGCACTCGCGAGTGCATTTCGAATCGGACGGCAGAAAAGCACGAGTTGAATCTATCGGACGATTCTCGCTTGGCTAATTTGTGCCGTCGTCACGCTTCGGCCATGCCACCGGCGTGACGCCTATACGCCCACTTTAAGTTGTCACTCTTGGCTTTTCCCAAGTTCGCCCAATGGGGTGGTCGTTCAATCATGGACCAGAGCTAGAGCGGCACGAGCAGTACAGAGCACACTGACATTAGGTGCTCGAGGCCACAATGGCATCAATGTCGAGTCTTGGAACATCTCGTAGGCCGTGCGTTGGGGATCTCTTCGAGCGGGTGGCCGCGCGCTGCTCTGGTCGTATCCGATGGTCTCTTTTCACACGCCGTAGTAGCCAGTGCGGCCATAGCCTGGCTTCTCATGGCATACAATGTTTATGATTGTTGTATTGCCCAATCTTCTACTCTAATGATCCGACCCTAAACTTCTTGCCTATCGATACTACCTCAGCGATCGCACCCTAAACTTCTTGCCTATCGATACTACCTCAGCAATCGCTAAATGTAACTAATGATCGATATCAATGCATGCAGTTGACAAATTTGCATGATATTCATTTAATCGGGGCCACGGTGCTGCCGGGCACTGATTTCCTGACGTTGAGTTCGCTTGGCCAATGCGGGGCGTTTGTTCTATCCATCAGTGAGTCGATGGCCTCTGATCGTACTGTCGAGTACCAGAGTCGAGAGTACACTGGCCGGTACTAACCAGTGTATTGACGGTATGGACTATATAGAGACTGATAGTCCATTTGAAACATTTTCAGACCTTCATGAGCTGGCTGTTACTCATCATGATTATCTCGGTACTGCATGTATCGTATGGCCGGAGTGGACAAGTTATAAAATGAATGATCGAAAACATGAGAGTCAGAAAGGTACTCAGTTCGATATAGGCCCGTTAAGATACTCGTTTGATTGCCTCACCCCCTATAAAACTCGGGCCCAACACTGAACCCTAGAAGATCGACGCACCATCACAAAACACCCCCCCCAAAGTTTCCGAACTGAATCCATGTGGATTTCAAGCCGGTAGACTCTCATATGATCGCGTCATGGAAATCTCGACTCGCTTCCGCACAGAAATGACATGGAGGCCGAGCAGTCCGGATCCACACAGATTCCATGATAGTGTCAGCACGGAATCAAGGCAGAATGTTCAAATGAAAACCAAGCCGGAAGTCGCATGGAATCCGTGCCTAGAATCCACATGAATGCGGCAACGAATCTGTGTGCATCGAATCCATGTGGAAATCATGCCGAATTGGGGCCTCGAATCCGTGCAGCATCTACTTGGCATCTTATTGTAGCGCTTCACCATGGAAACCATACCGCTCCATGATATGTGTTGCTTATATTGTTGCAAACAGTGCCTCCTACGAGGCAATGATTCGCACCACATGGCGCCGCAAGACTCGGCGCACATTGCTACAATATAAGCTCAGCCAATAGTAGTACATGCTTGTCATGCTCATGATGCACCTTGAGGCTCGCAAGACACCAATTCTCCGTGCTCTGTACTATGTGCAATCAGATCCACTATATGCAATCAGATCTAGACACACTTTCGTGTCGGAGTTGGTTACAAGAGCGGTTGTCGTCAATTTTAATTTAAGCAACGCTTGTCGTTTAGCAGGTGGCGGGCACTTGTCACTACCTATAATAAACGGCAAAGTAAGCAGAAGCAACACGATTGAGCCGCGTACTTTGTTGGCGGCTGAGTTTGTTGGTCGCAATCCCAGATGTTGACCTGCAATCAAGAGAGTTTGTCGGACTCGGGTCAATGGAATGGCTGAGTGACAACTTCGTACAACAAGTCCAGTAGCTTCGAGAGTTTGAGATACAAAGACCCGACTTCAAAACAAATGTTTGAAGGTTGTCTTGCAAACTCACCTTGTGGAAGAGGCAGCCGAGGGAGGAGAACCGACAAGGTTGGCACACCTCCGACGAAGTGGTCCAGAACCTGCATGTTGATAGAAGGAAGAGGAAGGTGAGGGCTCACGACGTTCGACCTCTATCTTCATCTCAAGGATTCTGTTGGTTCTAAGTGACGGGAGCAGTTCTCAGCATTTGCAGAGCAGCGGTATCACCCCGAGTCTGGTCGTCCCTTTGATGGCAAAACACACGGAACAATATCTTACCGGTCACTATTTCATACGCTCAATTTCTGGCCATCTGACGGCGCCCGGCCAAAGAGGGGATATCCTGGTAGCAGATGCTTCAAATTGTGGCGTTTGAAGGTCTCGAAGTCCCAGGCTAGACGGCAATGAACCCACCTTCAGATGCTGCGTGAACGACTGCAATCCGGACGCAAAGCCAGCAAGATCGTTGGGCGGCAGGCGGCGGGCGGCAGGCTGGCAGTAGTCGGGCCCGCAAGGCGGAGCAGCCCCTCCGCCCGTCTCAGCAGCATGAAGCACCGCCAGGGGGGCCCCATTCGGCAGTCCGACCCGCCCAGTGCGTGCACGTCTGCCAAGGATAGCGGCCAAAAGCATTGTTAGACACAGCCTGGACGTCACGGAAAGAAAGACAATCTCAGCGCACACTAGGGCTGTCTGCTCGGAAACACCAGGCTGCAGCCTGCGACAAGGACGCCAGAACGGACTTACATCCACCCCGGGCTCAAAGCATACCTCTCGAGGATGCGGCAACCTTTCCTGATTGCTTTGGGAAACAGTGTTGCAGACCGGTTTTGGACATGACCAAGCTTCGGCATGCCTCTCAACCGGTTTCTTTGCGAATAGACGAAGGAGCAAAGGGGTCAGATGCAGCCAGACAGGCCCGATAATGCAGCTGGCACGCACCTCGGCGAAGAAGAGCGCGCCGTTTTTTAAGCTTTCCATGTTGTCGCTCAACACCAGCATGTCCGCCCCCCGGGCTCAAAGTCCTCAAGCGTCGAACCGCGCGCGCGTTGAGGCCGTATGCCCTTGTCCTCCGTGCGGTCGCCCCTCAGATTGCCTGCTCAAAAGCCGAAAAGAGAAAACAATCAGGGCAGAAATGACGTTGTGGCACATTTTCAAGCCAAGCCAAAGGACGGTAATCAGTGTCCTCAACCGAAAGAAGCTTATCTAAGAAGGCCGAGTTGGAAAGGTACAACAGCTCTGAAGACTGCGGATGCCTTCGACGGTGGAACCTGGCTGACAGTACGTGTCAGGCCACATGCAACAAATGGAGACGGTTTGAATTAGACCGACCTGAACCAAAACTGTTGGCGAGTGTGTTTCAACCTCGCTCACAGGACGACCTTGAACGACATCGG